GCAAGCAGTACCACAACATTTGTGGATTGGCAAACAAGAGACTAGGACGTTGGAATTGATAGACTTGGTATTAGGGATAGAAACAGGGTAGAAGCAGCGAAGACTAGGGTTAGTTGGCTGATAGTAGGTCTGTTTTATCATAGACGTGGTCTAGGAAGCAAGAGCTTAATCATGAGAGCTACTCGGGATCTTTAGCTTCAAATTAGTCTGACAGACGCAGAATGTGGGAAATAACGCCTCATAGAGAACAGATCGAGTGGCAGGTGTCGAGGGAAATACTTGAACCAGGGCGATAGCAGGCGGATCCTAAGAGGCAAGAGGGAGACCCTGATAAGACCTAGGGAAGGAGGACTGCGTAAGAGTATGACAGACTATGATCAGCATTCTCGGCACAAGGATGAACCGGGGGGAGAGGGGTAAAATGTACACGTCTTATGAAGTCGTAATTAATTCTCTAAGGCTAACTCTCACGTTAGCAGAAAGTTCTTGCAATAATATTTTATTGAAGTTATGAAGACCAAGATGGTGTTACCTTTTGTGTGGTAGCAGTCTCCTTTCGTTGTATAGTTGTTGATGAACTTGTCTTCTCAGCTTGGTCGGAGAAGACCAGGCAACAGGAAGATTAGCAAATAGAAGACGACTGGAACAAGGTAATACCCTTAATTTTAGGAAAAGAGATCACAAGGGGATTAGAAAGGAAGAATTAGAAGCAAAGAGGATACGTCTTCAGTGGGCCTTATCAAAACAAGTAGAACCGCGACCTTTGTGGGTTGGCACACAAGAGACTAGGACATAGGAAGTGATAGTCATGGTATTACAGATAGAAATAGGAAAGACGAGGTGGAGACTAAAGCTGTTTGGCTAACAATAGACGTGTTTGATCTTAAACGTGATCCTTGAATGACGACTATTGTTAGCTTCCACTGTTTCTATCTTTTTCTATCTATAATACCAAGCCTATTACTTCCTATGCCCTAGTCTCTTGTGTACCAACCCGCAAATATTGTGTTTCAACATTGAACCAAATCAAAACAATCTGTACCCCAACATTTGTGAGTTGGCACACAAGAGACTAGGGCATGGCAAATCATAAACTTGGAATTAGGGATAGAAACAGGAAGAGACGGCGGGGACCGGGGCTAGTTAGCTGACGGTAGGTCTGCTGTACCAGAGACGTGGTGCATGTAGCAAAGGGGTGACCATGACACTCAGAGGCTTGCACCTCAAATTAGTCACCCAGACGCAAGGGAGGGCGAATAACGCCTTGAATAGGACAGATGTGTTGCAGGAGTTGAGTGAAATAGATGAACAACTGGTAGAGCAGACAGATTTTACGGAGCAAGAGAGAGACTGGGATAAGACTAAGGAAGAGGACAGCATAATAATAAAGCAGGCTCTGATCAACATTCCCTGCACAAGGATGAAAGGTGGGGGAGAACGACAGTTGAAGTGTGAAGGTTTAATGTCACACACCACATTATCTCTAAATAAACACGGTAAAATTGTAATAGTGAAGGCATGATAGGATGCCATCGGAAACGCGAATAACCCAGGGCAGAAGGGGAGATACCACACTTGTTTAACACACGTTTGGTCAAAGGATCGGCTTAACTTGTCTATTTGACCAGTTGTCGTGAGGTGCTTAGAATGGCGATACTTACTGACGATGCCGGCGAAACGTCTGGGAATGTATCATGTCCACGGTTCAACTTTGGAAATGATCATGCAGACAATGGACTCCGGACTAGGTGCATTCCTCTAAGTCT